TGAAGGGATGAATCAGTGAAAATAAAATTAAAGAATAATATGTCAAATAGACTCATTAAAATTAAGTGAAAATAAAAAGCTAAAATGTCTTTTCAGCTAAACCCCGAAATTCCGGCTAAAATGAAGTCAGTAGAATGCATGTAGAATAGTTTATTATCACTTTAAAGGGCAGTGGTCGTCGCGCCACGTCCTGTTCGATATGGGACTCATAACACGTGTAAAATTCATTGTTTGTTTACATGAAATTTGATACTATGAAGTTATTATGAGGATACCGAAAAGTATGAACAAGGACAGTACAGCGGGAGTATCGTCCGGCATGCAGCGGAGGTCGATGTGACCGTGTACTGTCTGAGTGCAAATTGTGTGGTATCCTCATAATAACCTTATTAGTATACATGTTTTCTTCCAAGGATACTGTAGAATACTTTTAATAAAATTATTTTCGCTTGGAATTTATTTTCGCTATTTTCGCTGAAGGGATGATTCCGTGAAAATAAAATCCAGCGAATATACTTTTTGTCCTATATTTTACATTAAACTCATCAAAAATCAGTGAAAATAAATTCACTGAAAATAAATTCCATACAAAATGCCCAAAAAGCCTTTTCAGCGAAAATTAATTCCAGCGAAAATAAAGTATTCCACAGTATATCATGGGAATGCCGAAATACAAAAAGTTTGGAACAGATTTAGCGAACTTCTTTGTATGGGCTCCGGGGACTGCCATGTTTGTTTTTATTATTAGAGGATTACATGCGTAATCATTCCATATTTGGAATTCGCGTTTTCTAATATGGTACGATGAAAATACCCAGGGCAATACTGCAAAATTACGGCACGCTGTAACCTATGGCGTTTTGGTGACAGGTGTATAATAATAGATTTTCATTCCATTTTTGGTTGATTATTATACATGTGACACTGAAAACAATGGAATTCATCCATCCATATAATGACAATGTTCGCACAACACAAACATTTTTCATTGAAATTTCAAGCTGTTATCTCCAATAAATTATTACAAGCAGGAAAAAATGTATAATACCATGATGGTTATCACGGAAATACTTTATTGCTGTATGTAGTGCATACTTTGTGATATTCTTATAATAACTTATAGTAAATTACTTTATTTTCGCTTGGAATTAATTTTTGCTGAAGGAATGATTCAGTGAAAATAAAATCCCGGGAATATACCTTTTTTTCTATATTTTACATTCTCATCAAAAATCATACATAAATAAATTAAATTTCATACAAAACACCCAAAAAATCTATTCAGCGAAAATAAATTCCAGCTAAAATAAAATATTTAACAGTATATTATTTTATAGAGTAGTACATTGAGATTACATATATGTGTTATATTTATTGAGGAACACATTGGCTAGTATTTTTTCTGCCAAATTTTGCTTAGATGTGTCTATTTTTAGAAATTTTTATAATTAAACGCTTCAGCGTGGTATTAAGAGTTTGTTTTCAGGGGTGGGTGATACTAAGGTGGAAAATGGATGCACATATGGGGGTAATTCCTGGAATTACAATAGAGAGGGTTCAGGCCGAAATACAATATATAATGTTTTCATGTTTCGTCTGATATTTCTGTGGTCTTCTGCTGCTGTAACTAATGCAAGATTTGTTCTGAAATTCAGTGTGTTGTGTGCATTCCAGGGTTTTTCGTTTTTTCTTGAAAACACCCCTATTTGTTAATGGCAGAGTTGATCTGGTTTCACTCCCACTGGGAAATCTGCATTGTTGCTTGAATGCAAGCTAATTAAACACATTTTCCAGACCGGCGAAAGACTAAGTAACAGCCAATTTTAACAGCCTATCACGTGATTTTACTCAAAATGTCAACATGGAAGGAGGCTATTCCATTTTACGCAGGAATAATTGGGAGTAGAATATGTGAGGGATAGTATGAACAGAGATGTGTATACTGAAAAGTAATATCTGTTCTACTTCTGCATCGCTGAGCATTTCTGTTTTAGTATACTGGTTTGAAAATGTTGAAATTGCATGTGTTTTTTTACTCAAACTCCCCTATTGATTGAATCCCGGGTTTGAAGGAGAACGACACACCACATGATTCGTGAATGGTGAAGGGTGCAGACAGGCCTCCGTCCGATCTCGATATGTAGTTTAAATTTATGTTGAAGTTAAAAGTTGACAGCGGTCGTCGCAGAGCTGCACGCTACAACTTCGCTTGTTATGTTGCTTGTTAGCCGTGGATTGAATGAATCTTGATTACCGGTTCAAATGTTGCTCATTTGGCGTTGGTAATCTTTATTCGG